AATCTCAAAAGAAGTTTGTAATAGATTTTTTTGTGAGTTTTTCTTGTGATTCTCTGTATAATGATAAGTGTGTGTGAATGATGAAGATGGAAAGGATGCAGATAAGAGATATGAAGATTTAATTCCCAACAAAGGTGAGTTTCTCTATGTAAAAATTATGTTATGAGTTTTTCTCTCTTTCTGCTTTCTGTTGGAGTTTTTCTATATCAAAATCACCTCCCTCTTCTCTTTCTTTTTCTTTTTTATTATAATCTGTTGTGCCTTTTTCTGATCTGCTGGGAGGTTTGCTGGAAACAGTTATGGATTAGAGTTGTCAGTTTCTGTTAGTAGTTATGTTTTTCTTTTAGGAAGTTAGTTAGAAAATTTGTTAATTGGTTATAGGAGTTTTTTATGGATATGTTACATGAAGTTATTAATCGGTTGAAAGTTGGTTGGGAGAGTTAGTTTTGACAGTTGGTTAGAGGTAGGTTAATTGTTGGAAATTAATTAAGGTGAACCGAAAGTTCAAAAAGAGTTTGCCATGAGCCAACAATCAGAAGACTGCTACTTTTAATTCTGTCTTCTACTTCTGCCTAATTTTTGTTTTGCTGTTTTAATAATTTTTGTATAGCTTCCAGTGAACACAACAGGGTTGCACGTTTGTATGACTTTGATGAACCAAACAAATACAATGCTTGGTCTGAACTAGTTGTCCCAATCTGTATAATAAGTGGGCTGCTTTTGGTTAATGCTTGCAGGTTTTGTGAACTGATTTTGCTTCTTCAACTGATGCATACAGAAGGGCTACCACAGAGTTTTTTCAATGAAGATGATGAAGCCATGTTGAGCAAGGAAGGCAAGTCGTGAGGGAAGAATTTGGAGAAGGCATGGAGTTTAGAATTTTAGATTTTCTCATGTAATTCATATTTATAACCGTGATATAATTCTAATTGTAACATGGTGTAGCATTGATGGGGATTTTGTAATTTGGTAATGACTTTATAATCAAATGAGAAACTTCGCATATTTAGCACAATTTTCTTAATACATTTTTCCCTCTTGGAAAATGACAATGTGATGTAACTTGTAAAATGGAGACATCTTGATATCTCTTGAACCTTGAAACATCTTGATATCTCTTGAACCTTTGACTTGTTTTAAATAACACTCAAATGGATGAATATGCCTTGTATGCTTAATGGATAAAACGTAGCTTTGATGTTGTCTTAACACACTTGAATATCTTGAACTTTTGACATCAAATGAACAATTACAACCAATAAATCCAAATTCAATTCAATTCTCAAATCCGAACTTCAATCTCAAATCCGAATCAACAAGCATCAAACACATGAGGGAAGTAATAAATATATTCTCATCCTTTGTACCATGACTCATTCTTGTAATTCCAAACAATAAGAATTCTTGAACTGATGATCAATGGATCCTTAAGAGAAATCTCAATACACCTTTTATCTCGACAAAATCCTCTGATGATATTAACACAAGAAGAATCTTGTAACAACAAAGCCTTTAGATGATGATGAGAATTGACAAAGAAAAGCAATATATCTTGATGCAAAAGAAACTCGTAACGAATGACCAAAACCCTAGCTCAAGTCAAGCTCAGATGAAACCCTGATTATTGATAAAGCATATTGATTCAAGCTTGAATGAAAGTGAGTGTCTAAAAGCACAAAGAAACCTTAATTCCTCAATATCCTTGATTCCATGTCAAACCTTGTGGTTAGTGAATGCATGATGTGTTGATTGACCTAACGGAGGGTATGTAGATGAAATGAGAATGGAATGCATAAGTCAGATGATTTGATGAAAAGGTAGGATAAATTTGGAGTATTAAAGGTGAGAATAAATGGAGACATTTGGGCTACTACATTTTACTGGATTTGGAAATGGAAGAATAAACGAGTTTATGATGGAAATTATAAAAGTTTTTGAAAACCTTGGAGTTTTATTTTCGACCAAGTTAAATGATATCGTAACTCAAAAGACATGTAAAGAATGGGTGTGGGTACTTATAAACAAACAATTAATGTAATTTGGTATTCTTCTATGCATGATTGGATGTGTTTAAATATCAATGGTGCTGCTAAGATATATAGGCAAGTTCTATGAAATGGTGGTGTTATCAGTGATAGTAATGACATATGAATTGTTGGATTTACTCGTTATTTGGGCCATACCTATATGGCAAAATTATGGAGTCTTTATGAAGGCTTGTGCTTAGTTATAAGACTCAGTGTCATTGATTTGGAAGTTCATATAGATTCGATGATGGTTGTTCAGAGTGTGACTACTGATGATATTGGTAGTATTAAAGGATGGAGTCTCGTGAAAAAGATACTCAGGTGATACATGAACCTCCTCTTGAAGTTACGCGGGTTCTTGCTGATGATGTTAGGGGTGTTTCTTTACCCCGTTTAGTTTCTCTTTAGTTATTTTTCCCCGAGCTTTAGTCCCCCATTGTATCCCAAAAAATATTTATTTATTAACATTTTGATAATCTCAATAAAAAAATATAATTTATAATTTGGATATCCAAAATATGATCAAAATTAAAATACATGAAATTGGATCAATAAAATTATATTTTTAATTAATCATCCAAAATCGAACTGAAATATAAATAAATTTATCTTTCGATCAAATAATTTCTTACCTTGAAAACAATCCAACCACATTACGAACACTCGTAATATACTATATACATACAATTAATTAATTTAATTGTTAAATTATAAATATGCCACTTCCTATACAATTTTCAATTCTTCATATTTTAGTTGGTGAACTCTAGCTAACCTATAAGTTTGTTTTAACAATTTTATTTTATTTATCTATTCACATGATTATATTTTATTTGAATTTAATTTGATATTATGTTTGTAATATTTTATATTTTATTTATATTTTTCAATTAAGCTATGTATTATATTTTTAGTCTTATTTAGTTATTTGTTTAACAACAACATTAATTATTAATTTTTTGAAATATAATATCAAAATTTAATTAGAATATAGATTAGGAACCCTATATGAGTTGGGCCAATTTGTTTTAGCTTTTAAAAAATAGATTTTTTTATTTAAAAATGAATTTTATAAAAATATTTTTCTAAATATTATAAGTTTTTTATATTTGTTTTTTAAAATTAAAAGACTGATTTTGATATTTTATAACATAAATTTATATTATTAAAGATCAAAACATAATCAAAATTATAATTTAAAAAATATATATTTCAAAAATAATTTTTATGAAAAACTATTTGAAACCGCTTCAAAATTAAGTGATGTTTCAAAATTTTGATATCCAAAATAAATTTTAAATAAATTTTTTTAAAAATAACATTTTAAAAATACCTCTATAAAAGTTTCTTTATAAATTATTTTTATACAAAATCATACATGTAACATTATAAAAATTATTTTAAAAAAAAAGACAGAACAATCATCCATATAAGTAATCAAATTATAGATTAGATTTCTTTAACTTTTAAGTAAGAAAGTTACTCCGCCTTTCATTTAATCTCTATTATTGACAATCAAAGCCTTGTATAAAATTATGTGTTTTTTTCATTAATAAAAACATGTAAATTATATAGTGACGAAGAAGTGTTGGACTGCTGGGATGACTATGAGGTGAGGGAAAAAGTACTTGGTTCACTTGGAAGGGTCTTTGTATGGAGAAGGAAGATAAAGTCGTGAAGGGTTTCAAGCAAAAATGTCCTTGTAAGTCTCTTAGTATACAAAAATGTTGAATCCATTCTGCATTCCATAGTTAAATGTAATTTTGAACAATGTTTAAATGTTTTCTGATGTAATTATCACCAAGTTTAATCATGTTAAATTGTTTAAGTTTATTGTTTATGTTTATAGAATAGTAGCAAAAAGAGTTGCAAATTGGACATGTTTAGTAAAAGTTATACTGAGGGATTGTGGTCTAAAAAGAGTTGGCATGTGAATCCCTAAGAAAGGTAAAAGGTGAATCCGTCCAAAAATAAATATATGTTGCTGATAGTAAGTGTTATTTTAACATACTAAAGAGTGTAAAAGGTGGATCCAGAATTTAATAAATAGAAGCCAACAAATAGTAAAAGGTGATTAGATATGACACAACACTGTTCACATGTGTGTTTTCCTTTCAAAGTGTGTAATGGACACTAACTGTACACGTGTGAGGAACATATTCCTTTGGGGACATAAAGACAAAAGATTTCAAAAGCAATTATTTTTTGTTACTGTAACCACGTGAATGCACCATGTGATGTTCTGCAAAGTTGAGCAATAAATAGAAGACAACATACAATGTCATTTGCAAAGTGAAACCGTATAACTCAAATCATATCACTTCTCCATCTTCATTTTTATAAACCATGATGTGTAGAGAAACTTTAAAATGGATCTTTGCGGCATTCTCAAACACTCAGACATGATAGACTGTTTTATAATCACCAAGATATCATCACAGGTTTAGTTTTTAATTGGTTCAATTAATCTTGTTATTATTGTGTGTATCTTTTATATTTGCAGTCGTACCCGTAAATTGACCCCTCTTTTGTGAAAAGCTATGGAGACCAAACTTCCAAATGTTGGACCATCATGAATAACCAAGGTGTACACCACGAACTGATCTACCTTCCGAGGTAGTCCCGACGGTCGGTTATTATGGTAACAACAACTATGGAATTTTATCATTTAAGGAGGTGGTGAGACCCCAGGATTTACCATGTTTTCAAAGTAGATATTTTCTTCACAAGGACATATATGTTTTTGATGTCACTCTGAGCCCGTTCAACATAGATCTTCCGAAATTAGTTGAGTTGTCTTTAAGCTTCCTATTTTAATCTGTGCATGAATATGTCATATATATATATATATATATATATATATATATATATATATATATATAGTATAACATCAACAACTAAATTATAATTAGATTGTAGAAATTGCAGGAGGACTTTGCATTCGTACTGAGAGACAATGGATATGAAGATATTATGCTATGTGGTGACAATGGGAAGAATAAATTCATGTCGTTGTCCAAAATTGCAGACCCTCGCCACACAAAGTTAGGATATGGATGGGACGAATTCTGGAAGTCCAATAACTTCAAAGCCGAAGATAGACTTCGATTTAGGTTTGATGTTACTTCTTTGGACAAAACATGCTATGTATATTTATTTCCGTAAGTGTAATACATATTTGTGTCGGTAACATGGTATTCCAGATAAGTAATATTTAAATTAAGTCTTTATGGTATGAAGATAAAAGAGATGTTGATATTCCTGCTTTGCAATTAATATTGTACATTAACCCAAATTGACTTAAAACGTGAAAATTTGAAACACAGTGTGAACACCCAAAAAATACCTTACAGTACCATCTGAGATACAAAATACATTGAAAACTGCACAGGAGTATTTTTCCTGCAAAGCTAAAAATAAAAAATGAATTACAGTTAAAAAATAATTGGCCACCAACTTGTAAGATTAAATCATAAATTCAACAAAAGCGTACAAAAGTGTTACTTTAAATAGGGAACATCTATATATTATTGAAAACCTCTTTGTAAACAACGTTGGTAGTTGTCGACTTTAACTTGTCGTTTTCATCATATATCAATATTTTTATTCCTTGTTTGGTTGTGACCCTTGATAGTGCGACATAGATTTGGCCATGAGTGAATACATCTCTTGGCAAGTAAAGTCCCACTGTATCTAGATATTATCCTTGAGATTTGTTGATCGTCATTGCATATGAGACCACTATTGGGAATTGAAAGCGTTTAAGTTTGAAAGGCCAAGGGGATTGCAAGGGTGACATATCTATTCGAGGGATGTAGACCAAGTTTCCACAACTTTTTCCGACCATTATTTTTGCTTCGATGACATGGTTGGCCATCTTAGTTATCATTACCCTAGTGTCGTTACACAAACCCTCCGACTGATATATGTTTCGCATAAGCATAATAGGTGTTCCTACCTTTAACTTAATGTGATGGTTAGGTAACGCTGAAGTACTTAGTGAACTGAGAAACTCAAGTGTGAGGATATCGACTACATTGTTGTCATGAATTTCGGACTTATCGACAAAATTTGAGCTGTAGTAATCCTTGATCTCCCCTAAATAAGAAATATTGGTATGTTAGTGAATTAAATTAATATAACAGATATTTAGAAGGTACTTGAAGAGAATGAATACATGACATCAAATCAAGGACGTGATCGTTTATCTGATCAACAACTTCTAATGTAGAAACAAGTATCGCGCGACTTTTGAGGTAGTGGTTGGATTGGTAATGAAGGATAAAATCATGATATGTACTATTGACGATGGCAAAAATAGGGTCATCATAATCTGTAATTAAAAGTTCTGGTGGCAACTTAGTGTTGGCAAATCCATCATTTGGCTCAGAGAGTTTGCCTTCACCAATTTGCAATAACCACTTTGAGAACTCTGCTATTTCTAACTTTTCATATTCATTTAGGACGGATTATGGTCGCATGTTCTGCGTTAAAGTTAAAACTTAGACCGAGCGCCATATGTAAAAAGCATTTATCGCAAAGTGTATGATATCAGAACGACTCCCTTTGGGAACAACGGGCAAAATGTGTCTAAAATGACCACCGAATACAACTACCTTGCCACCAAACACGTCCTCCAAATTACTGTACATAATCATTATATCCTTCAAAGTTTTGTCGAGTGCTTCAAAAGCATGCTTGTGTGCCATGAGTGCTTCATCCCATATAATAAGCTTTGTCTGCCTTAGGAGCTCTGCAACATCATCGTCGTAGTCAATTTTGCATGTCGAATTTTCCATTGTTGGTACGAGTATCTTGAATTTAGAATATGCAGTTCACTTTCCGGGTAATAACAAAGAAGCAATTCCACTCGTTGCAATGGTTAAACATATATCATATTTGCACCTCAAATCACTTGCAAGTGTTCGCCACATGTAAGTTTTTCCGGTTCCCCCTTAACCATGTAGGAAGAACACCCCACCATTTTGAGCATAGACACAGGCCATAATTTTTTCAAAGATTGTCCTTTGCTCATCTAAGGAGAAGTCAACAAGAATAAATGTATGAGACGAATGTAAGGTGAGTGGCAATTGATTCAATAATGATGAGTACGAACCTGTTAGAGCATTGAAAAGGTTTGTGAATTTGGATCTCATTGTAGACATATCATAACTTCGTTCATCATATATTAGTTGGTTGCCTAATTGTTGTAGAACGTATCCGTCTAAATATGGAATTGGTTTAAAATCGATGAGACTTCGTCGATATTCTTGAAGTATTTTTTCAATCTCAGTTAAAGTCAAATTCACCAACTGCTTCTCAGTCAGAAACAATTCTGCTCCACTGAGAGTACAACACAAGGTCAATTTAGAGTTAGTAGTCAAGAGTTTAGTACATAAACAAACATAAAATCTATGGTTCATTAGAAGCATGAATTACTGTCACAGCATAATTAGAAGCTTGGAGTAGTTTTTCAATCTCACTCTAAGTTATCGTAGGCTTAATATTTATGATACAGGTTATAAGGTTTTAGAACCAAAATTATTCCTGTTTGAATAATTAGTTAGGAAGCAGGATTTAATGTAGATTCAAAATCAATTATAAAGCATGATAGTTTATTATATAACAGATTCACAAAATCTTCAATTCATTACCCCATGGACTAGTGTGACAGTTTGGTAAAGCCATTGGAAACTAAATTTTAGGCTTAATACTTTTTATACATGATATGTCTTTCTACAATCGAAATGATGCCAGGTGTATTAAATCCATGAGGCCGTAGTAATAAATGTTTCAATGTAAAACACAAGCTATTATTAGATAGATGGGCACAACCTTTATTGTGAGCCAACAGTCTTTGTTGATGCAGTAGACCATCAAATAATAGTATCTATGATTCGTTCCAAACACGAGCAGGTCTATTAATAGCACCGGACAAAAGCATAACTATGAAAAGCTTGCGGAGAAAATGGCCCGAAACCCAATGTATTCTTGATCGTCTTTAAGGAAGTCCATTGCAAAGCAGGTATCTCTAAAAGTATCAAATTGAGTGTCGTCAACTTTGGGAATTTCTTCATATGTGGAGGGTCCCTTCACGACCGTCAACATCATTCGCAGATAAAATAGTTCTTAAGTGTTTGGTGGAACCCATATCAAACGGCCAATAGTGAATCCCTTTTTCCGTGATTTCCACTGTCCTCTTTTCGTAAACAAATCTAAAGACAAATTGACCATAAGTAAGTGATTGTGCGTCTTCGTATTTCCCTTTAGAAACCAACCAAGCATTGAACATTGATTCCGTCACACTTGTTTTTTCCAATATATTTTCCATTTTGGCGTGATCGGGGTAGTAAACCGTTTTTTCACCTACTAAATGATAAAACATACGTTCCACCGTTGGTTTCCTTCCATGAATGTTGTAAGAGTAAATTCTCCAACACGCTTCACTTAAGGAGACATACCTACAATTTAGATACTGTTTGATCTCATCAACTGGCTCTTTGTCGTTCCCCGAGCCGGAGTTTGTAGCTGAAATTGTTGTTGCGATTCTATAAAATCCTTTGTGTATATACTTGAATAGATATTTGATAGATGTAATTTAGTTACATCATTCCATGTTAATATGTGCATGGTACTTCAAAAGTAATATTGTATTGTAAGATAAAACATGTCGATCGTCCAAAGCGATACCATTTTTGTGAATCACATGGGAATTGGATCGTCTTCTGTAAAGAGGATAGCAATATGCATCAACAACCGTAGCTTCTTGGTAATTTTTGGGGAAGTATTTAGAGCATTTTATATTTTTCATACACAGTGATTTCATCTGTGATGGACCACAAGGTCCATGTATCATGTGTTCCTACACCAAGTTGTATAATCTTGGATGAACAATAGGGTCCAGAATTTCAGCATAAATGATCTTATCTATGTCGGATGGTGTTGGGTATTTGCTTTGAGGGTGTAAAAAGATTAACATCTGAGCACATGGCAATCCTCGCTTATGAAATTCAATCATGTACATAATTGTAACAAAAAACCATTTGTTAAATTTATTAAATTTAATTAACGAAGAGTGTGCATATTTGCATTTAGACGTTTCAGCAAGAACACTTACACGTGATAACCTTCCCGAAAATACGACGTTTGGTTATATCAGTCATGAGCTCGTCAAATTTGATTTTGAATACTCTGGCAATGAGATATGGTCTATCATGTGGCTTTAACGCAGTGCCAGACATGGCACATGCTATTTTCGGCCAAGCAGGACCGCAAGTAAACGTAACAAATAAATCAGGGAATCCCAACTTACTTGATATGGCCATACCATCAAAATAAAGTTTATCCATGTATCGCATGCTCCCAACAAAAGTTGATGGCAAAACCACACGTTTTCCTCGCTTTGGTGTCGTATTTTCTTGAGTATCATGACATTAATCATTCAACTGGATACATTTTCCGACTTGTTCATACATAGATCCATTGGCCGGGTTAGTAAGGATAAGAAGAAGCAGAAAAAGGTAGACAAATTGGGCATTGCATGTTGGGCCGAGTAGGACATCAGATCAAAGAGCTTTATGATTGAGCCGAGTGGTGAGACTGGGGGCGGTTATGGTCGGTCACACGAGAAAATGAAGGGGCGTGGGACGAGCTCATATGTCAGAGATTATCATTGGGCCTAGATGTTATAAACAACTCAGCATTGATGACACTGTTATGCAGTGGCCGACTATTTAAGAGAGAAATCTCTCATCAATATAGACGACACATGTTATAATGGCTACCATCATTTGTAATGGTGAACATTTCTAGCTTTGATGGCAGCCCAGTTACGATCAATGAAGAGTCACAATGATTATAAATAACAATTAATGAGGTCCATGCACCTCCATATAAATAAGGCTCTCGACTGAGGGGTAAGTAAGATGCATCGCTTGGAGCTCACGCACACTTGTGTAAGCCTCCGAATCCCTTAACATAATATACAAAGTAGTTTCGTTCATTAGAGAGCTTCCCTAAATCCCTTAGGTTCGTAGGGAAGTCGTCCTTGGTATTCAGCAAGAATATGTGGCCCCCATCGTAGGGCCTGATAAAACTTTCCTGGGCCACACTATCTAAGCGTTTTGCAAACAATGTCCTTTGATGGAGATCCACCCCTATACATG